ATTTTGTAAAAAAACAGAAAATTGCATTATCATTATTTTTATTTATATTAGAAATGAAACCATTAAAACAGCAGATACAAAAAATATGCAAAAATTAAAATGACAGACAAAAAGAGACAACATCTTCAAGTTTTTTATATTGACATTTATATGAAATTTACATAATACACATATAAATATTTATATACATTTATTACATATATTACATTGCAATTGTGTATAAAATTCACACAAGGAAGTTTTACTTAAATTTAAAACGATTTTTTGTTTTCTTCATGTTAGGAAGATTGTGGAATGGATGTTGACCTGAATTGTCATTTAATGGGCTTGAATAAACATATTGAATTAAATTCAAATATTTTTTTTAATATGTAGTTATGCTAAATAAATGTTATTACGATTTCATGTTGAAAGTTTACTTTCCAATATATCACAAATACAAATTTTATAATATTAAGCTCAACGAATTTTCTTTAGTTATTGCAACTATGTAATGATCAATTCCTGGCCAAATTTTTAACACAATAAATCTATTGCAATCAATTTTATGGTTGTCACAATAAAAAAAAATTTTTAGACAAACATATACTTTGTTGTGGTAATCATATACATATAAGATTGTCGCCATATATTAAACAACTAACTTATACAATATGGTTGCGACAACAACAAAAAAATAAAACTTAAACTATAATATTGTAAAACTTTGATTGATGTAACCATTTAAACCATATATCGTTTCTTTTCGTGTAATGTTGATTTACTAAATATAATTTTAGGAAAACTAATAAACTTCAATAGTACATGAGTACATAGATAATACAATAAATTTGATTGATGACTATTTTTAATCCTTAAAATATATACTATTCCATACAATCCTAGAAAATCTGTGTTCATTTTAGTGGCCGGAGACGTGTCAAAAGTTTAATACTAGTGATTGGAAAAAAATTCCATTCAATGCTAATGGAGTATTAACTTCATTTGAAGTGACCAAAATTTCAATGGTAAATTACACAAATCATTTAGATTTACTATCATTTTAAAAGAAAAATATTTATTTAAACTAATCAGCCATTTAAAAATAACCGCCATAGAGAAATTAACACTTTAAAACGTGTTTCTTGAATGTGTAAAGTAATTTGAAAATTAATGCCTTTTATGAATAGGCAAAGAACAAAATAATTGTTTTTTGAGAAAAGAAAATTAAAACTATTTGTTTTAAGTGAAATTGTATACTTAATTGTAAAATAAATCTACTACTTGGTAACATTCAACGTAGTTTTAAACATTTACTACAAAATTTTCTTTGACAAATATAAACAAACTTCTTTTGCTAACAAATACGATATTGACCAAGTACATAAATACATTATGTATGAAATTCTAGAGTTTGTTTATTTCTCAGCTTCAAAAGCTTTTTTTAGTTACTAGCAACATGTTGACAACTAAATGTAGGGAAACTCTCACGAGAGGCAACAACAGCGAATGAGTTAAAAAGTAAAAAAGCCAACAAGAGTAAAAAGCCCGAGTATTAAAAAGCTTTTAAATGAGGTGTATGAATTGAAAGTGCAAATCCAGCGGACAATCATCAATTTACATCTCTGTTTACAAAATAAATCAAATGAGATACAATTTTACCGGTGTTTTTTTTTTCTATAAGTGTAAAGTGTAAGTGTATGTTAAATGTACTCTACTCACCTTAAAACTCATTTAAAGAAACGTCATCTGTTAAATATACGGCGCCAAAATCTACAATTAAAGAAAACATTTATTTTTTAGTTGTTGTAATCAAATTAACACAGAAGAATTAAATTGAGTTTTATATTCAAATATGTAATTATAAAATGTTTAATTTTCCAAATGCATAATGAAATATTTGTTTGGCAACAATGTTGTTAAACAAGTTGTTGCTACTTAAATGATAGGAAATATGATATGTATAAGCTTTATGCAAATTATTTTTTTTGTCATACAAATTTAATTTAAAATAAGATGTTTTATTTTTTTTTAGCAGGGAAAATAATGGTCCGAACTAATTATGTCATTTTTAAATGATTATAACTTTAGATCTGGTCGACCAATATGTTTACATGGCCTACAAATATATCTTGTGAATCTCAAATGATGATAGGTAAAAACATCGGTATTTTTTTCCATAAAATATTCTTAAACTATTGTTGTTTCATAATTATGGTAATTACTATTGATCTTGATTTGTATTGTATATAATTAACTTACCTATTTAAACAAAATATATGTATTAAAGTAATTTGAACAATATCTAATTAATTATAATTAGTAAAAAAATTAGTACAAACATACATATATATAACTGCAAAATTTAAATATGCAAAAAGTAAATATAATAATATATGATACTTTGTCTAGACACACATTATTTACAAAATTTTATTTTGGTTCTTGAATTTCACCTTGACAGAAAATTAATTGTCATGTTTACTTTCAAAATACAATATTAAATATCAACAAAAATTTGTTTGAATTCAAAAATATGGCAATAGTCTATAGTCTATAGTCTAGACTATAGTCTAGTCTATAGTCTAGTCTATAGTCTAGTCTATAGTCTAGTCTATAGTCTAGTCTATAATCTAGTCTATAGTCTAGTCTATAGTCTAGTCTATAGTCTAGTCTATAGTCTAGTCTATAGTCTAGCTATAGTCTAGTCTATAGTCTAGTCTATAGTCTAGTCTATAGTCTAGTCTATAGTCTAGTCTATAGTCTAGTCTATAGTCTAGTCTATAGTCTAGTCTATAGTCTAGTCTATAGTCTAGTCTATAGTCTAGTCTATAGTCTAGTCTATAGTCTAGTCTATAGTCTAGTCTATAGTCTAGTCTATAGTCTAGTCTATAGTCTAGTCTATAGTCTAGTCTATAGTCTAGTCTATAGTCTAGTCTATAGTCTAGTCTATAGTCTAGTCTATAGTCTAGTCTATAGTCTAGTCTATAGTCTAGTCTATAGTCTAGTCTATAGTCTAGTCTATAGTCTAGTCTATAGTCTAGTCTATAGTCTAGTCTATAGTCTAGTCTATAGTCTAGTCTATAGTCTAGTCTATAGTCTAGTCTATAGTCTAGTCTATAGTCTAGTCTATAGTCTAGTCTATAGTCTAGTCTATAGTCTAGTCTATAGTCTAGTCTATAGTCTAGTCTATAGTCTAGTCTATAGTCTAGTCTATAGTCTAGTCTATAGTCTAGTCTATAGTCTAGTCTATAGTCTAGTCTATAGTCTAGTCTATAGTCTAGTCTATAGTCTAGTCTATAGTCTAGTCTATAGTCTAGTCTATAGTCTAGTCTATAGTCTAGTCTATAGTCTAGTCTATAGTCTAGTCTATAGTCTAGTCTATAGTCTAGTCTAGTCTAGTCTATAGTCTAGTCTATAGTCTAGTCTATAGTCTAGTCTATAGTCTAGTCTATAGTCTAGTCTATAGTCTAGTCTATAGTCTAGTCTATAGTCTAGTCTATAGTCTAGTCTATAGTCTAGTCTATAGTCTAGTCTATAGTCTAGTCTATAGTCTAGTCTATAGTCTAGTCTATAGTCTAGTCTATAGTCTAGTCTATAGTCTAGTCTATAGTCTAGTCTATAGTCTAGTCTATAGTCTAGTCTATAGTCTAGTCTATAGTCTAGTCTATAGTCTAGTCTATAGTCTAGTCTATAGTCTAGTCTATAGTCTAGTCTATAGTCTAGTCTATAGTCTAGTCTATAGTCTAGTCTATAGTCTAGTCTATAGTCTAGTCTATAGTCTAGTCTATAGTCTAGTCTATAGTCTAGTCTATAGTCTAGTCTATAGTCTAGTCTATAGTCTAGTCTATAGTCTAGTCTATAGTCTAGTCTATAGTCTAGTCTATAGTCTAGTCTATAGTCTAGTCTATAGTCTAGTCTATAGTCTAGTCTATAGTCTAGTCTATAGTCTAGTCTATAGTCTAGTCTATAGTCTATAGCCTAGTCTATAGCCTAGTCTATAGTCTAGTCTATACCTAGTCTATAGTCTAGTCTATAGTCTAGTCTATAGTCTAGTCTATAGTCTAGTCTATAGTCTAGTCTATAGTCTAGTCTATAGCCTAGTCTATAGTCTATAGTCTAGACTATAGTCTAGTCTATAGTCTAGTCTATAGTCTAGTCTATAGCCTAGTCTATAGTCCAGTCTATTGTCTAGTCTATAGTCTAGTCTATAGTGTAGTCTATAGTCTAGTCTATAGTCTAGTCTAGAGTCTGCTCTATGGTCTGCTCTATAGTCTAGTCTATAGTCTAGTCTATAGTCTAGTCTATAGTCTAGTCTATAGTCTAGTCTATAGTCTAGTCTATAGTCTGCTCTATAGTCTACTCTATAGTCTAGTCTAGACTATATAGACATTAAACTAGACTATAGACTATTCTATACTTTAGATATCACAAAATTTTCGGAAAATATTACTGTCCATTTTATATGTGAAATATTCAATGTTTATTACATATAGTTCGACTTGGGAAAGAACAACAGAAATCTCCAAATGCTGGCTAAAAAACTTTTTTAAATAAAATACATGGCTCTGATAGAAACAAACTTTTCAGTTTAAATAGTTTACATAGCTTCTCCTGTAAAATTTAAAAAATGTTAGATAGGGCCATTTGCGTTTTAGGTGACGACATACATATTTTTATTCGTTATCTTTTTCAATTGTTTTTGTTTAAAAGTTTTTATACATAAAATTTAATATCAATGGCGCTTAAAATTGCATTTCATTGATTTATGATGATTTAGAATTGATATTTAAAATAACAAAATAAAAAACAACAACAAATTATGGTTTTTAATAAATTTGTAACCAGGAAGTTCATTTTGTACATTGGGTATTAAGAATTGTTTGATAAAGTGCAACATTGTCAATTAATTATTTTGTTAATAAATTAACATATGGGGGATTTCATGACAAGGGACCGAACTTTTGAAATCGAAGTATTTCGATCGGGAACAAATTTGCGCAAATGTTAGTAATGTTGAATAATAGTTTGGACTCAATTTTTCATCAAGATCGGTTAAGAACTGTTTGAGTGCCAAAATAAAAAAATACAAATTTTATTCAATGTAAAAAAAAACAAAAATAGATTGGGTTGAAAATGCTGATAATCAGCTGTGCGGAAGAGGCACCTTATTTAATGAACCGTGATATAAAACTTATAAACTTTTCATTCAATCATGAAATTTCCTTCAAAATACAAAAAGCCAACAAATTTCAATGAAAAATATCAAGCCGCTTTAAGCAAAAGAAATTTAAAAAAAGAAAATGAAAATAAGACCGGCTCAAGTTGCTGCCTTTGCATTTATGGTGGGCTACACTATTTTTGGACTGATGTGCCTAAAATTGGTTTACAATCGCCAAAGTTGCAATGGTTCCTTTTACCTCACTAAAGCCTATAATGTTTGGCCTATATATCATTTTTTCTTTGGGCAACAAATACATGCAGAAGCCCTTTTTGACGATCGTTATTGTGCTGGCAGTTTACATGGATTTTTAAGTTGCGTTTCAACTTATGTTTTAGGTTATGGTAAGTTCCTTTGGAAGAGATAAGTAGTAAAAATTGCGCCGTATTGATCTACATATATTTTTGATTAAATTCACAGCCGTTGCTGTTTATCGCCTTTTAAATGGTTTTCGCACACGATTTGTCAAACTTCTGCATGTGGGTTTACACGCAATTTCCTTTGCATTCTTTATCTGTGGTTATTTTATTCTATATTTTACGGAGTATTACGTGGAAAATGATTTTAACCATTTTCATGCCTACACCTCGATATTTGTTTGTTGTATGTATTTGTCTCAGGTAAGGCCAATTTTGATTTGTAATTTTTAGTGACCGATCGAACGCAGTTCGAAATTCCGCCGAAGCCTTCTATAAGTTTAGTTCTTGGCTCAAAGATGATGGCCAACACTGATCCGTTCGATCAGTTATTTAATAATTCACAACTTTCACGTACTTTATGTTTTAATCCTTTTGCAGATTATTGTTGGCTTGTCACTTTTTCTCTTTCAAAGAAATATACAACTTCGTTTAAAATTTGCTCCATTTCATGATGTTTTCGGTATTTGGTTGATTATTGCTTTGGTGGCTTGCTGCTTATCGGGTAAACGTTACGCCCAGGTGGACTATACGAAAAATAATCAACATGCCTTCTATAGTCTGACATTTGTTTCGTATTCTTTTCTCTTGATAGTGGTTTTAAATCCATTTTTTGAATGGGATTTGGTAAGCAACAGTTTAACAATTTGTGTTATTTTATTATTTACATTCTTTCTGGTTTTTAGGTGGGTCATATGTAAAGAAATATATAATATCCATCATATCTAAAGATGTATTATTTTATAAAATTAATTAATTTAACTTCTTAGATATATTTTACTGGACCATTAAGTTCCAAAATATTTTCATATATCTCTACCGGTTTAAAAATAATCACAAGGTATCTTGTGTAAGTTTGCGTTTTTTATTTCTCCTGAAAATTTATCAAAAAAAAAAAAAAAAAAAACTCATAGACCGTTTTACAGTCTCGTTAAACTGTTGCAATTTTATTACTTCTAATAATTGTATTACTATTATTTGTACTTTTTATAATTGACATACTTTTAATTAAACTAACACTACATAATGTTGTTCACACAAATTAATTTACTTACCATTACACTTAACACCGGAATTATGCGCCTTTTAATATGATAATCTATTAGAAATGATTTACTTAAAAAACAACAAATAAAAATTAATTGTTTCCTTGAAAACATGTGTGTATGTGACAAAATAAAATATTTAGTATTTCGATTGAAAAGATCTTACTTAAAGTCATAAATTTATTTAGACACTCCTCGACAATGTGCATAAAATCTGTAAAATTTATTTTTGAAAACAGCTTAATAATATGAATAATAAAAAAATCATTCCACGATAAATTATTAAATGATCTCAGCATAGAAAACAAATAAAAATATGTTTTTAATGGAATCATAATTTAAGTTAGAAATTAATTTATATAATTTTAGAAGACTGGTATCCTGTCTCAGACATGTGTTTATGAATACACCCGCTAGTTCTAAGTGCAACAAGGTATCTCTTTAGGCTAAAATTTTTTAAAAGAGAACGGTCACACAGTGGTTTAGGAACTTTTTTGTTTTGAAATAATTCGGTTTCTCGGTCAAGTGTAGAGTCTAGTCTATAGTTTAGTCAGTAGTCTAGTTTATAGTCTGCAGTAGGCTAGTCTATAGTCTGGTTTATAGTGTAGTCAGTAGTCTAGTCTATAATTTAGTCTGTTTTGAAATAATTCGGTTTCTCGGTCTAGTGTATAGCCTAGTCTATGGTTCAGTCAGTAGTTTAGTTAATAGTCTGCAGTAGTCTAGTCTATAGTTATGTTTATAGTGTAGTCTATAGTCTAGTCTACAGTCTAGTCTATAGTCTTGTCTACAGTCTAGTCTATAGTCTAGTCTATAGTCTAGTATACAGTCTATTCTATAGTCTAGTCTACAGTCTAGTCTATAGTCTAGTCTACAGTCTAGTCTATAGTCTAGTCTATAGACTAGTCTATAGACTAGTCTATAGTCTAGTCTATAGTCTAGTCTATAGTCTAGTCTATAGTCTAGTCTATAGTCTAGTCTATAGTCTAGTCTATAGTCTAGTCTATAGTCTAGTCTATAGTCTAGTCTATAGTCTAGTCTATAGACTAGTCTATAGTCTAGTCTATAGTCTAGTCTATAGTCTAGTCTATAGTCTAGTCTATAGTCTAGTCTATAGTCTAGTCTATAGTCTAGTCTATAGTATAGTCTATAGTCTAGTCTATAGTCTAGTCTATAGTCTAGTCTATAGTCTAGTCTATAGTCTAGTCTATAGTCTAGTCTATAGTCTAGTCTATAGTCTAGTCTATAGTCTAGTCTATAGTCTAGTCTATAGTCTAGTCTATAGTCTAGTCTATAGTCTAGTCTATAGTCTAGTCTATAGTCTAGTCTATAGTCTGAATACATTAACTACTTAAAACTAAAGAAATAACAACCACCAAAGTATTAAAATTCTGACAAGCATGTCTGATATAATGATCTCAGATTTAGATTCTGAAACAACAGTAAAAAATGCATTACCATTTAATATTCTATCAACATGTTTTAAAACATAACAACAACATGTTCTCATTTAAATTTAAAACAAATCTTAACAACATTTCTGTTAAACAACATTTAACTCTCAACAAAATTGTTGCTTTGTTAACATTTGGGAAACATGTGTCTATTCCAATGTTTATAGAGGCGTTTGAATGTGTATGTTTGCCGTGAGTATCTGTGTGTCAGGGGATGTTGTTGGTGTTTTATTATTTTTTGCTAATATTATGCTTGTAGCCAGCAAGTAAGTGTGAGTTTCTGGTAGTGAGTGCGAGAAGATTGAATGAAACTTATTTTCTAGTTGGTTTTGTGTCTAAAAGGTTTTGCGGCGTTTACGATGGCAAACATTTTTTCGTATTTTCATTCAGTTGCGATTTAACATTCGATTTGATAAAACGTGCTTGTTGTTGTAACGCGAATATTTTTGCTTTTAAATATTTTCTTTCAAATTAAAATTATTATAAGAAAAAATAAAAACAAATAAAAATTATTGTTTGAAAACAAGACGCACCCGGTGTGTGATAAAATAAAAAATTATTTTAAAATCTATTTTGGAAATTGACCAATTTTTTGGCAGTGTCTTTAATTAATAGTGTTTTTTAACAAGGAAAACAACAATACTATAGTTTAGCTTTTTTAGAATATAAAAAAGAATTATTAAACACATAAAAAATTGTTTGTGCATTGCAAAAATCAAATTACAAATTGCAAGTGTAACGTGTTAAACAAAAAAATATCTGAAATTTTTCTTTAAATAAAACTAGTGTTAACCACATTTTTTGAATACCCAGCAAAACAGTCACTGTTAAAGAAAACTAAATTCTTGAATTTGTGTTTTAAATTAAAAGGTGAGTGTTGGTTATTTTTAAACAATATATAAATATTTAGTTAAATCGCGCTATTTTCTATCTTTATATTTAATTTTTTTTTTAACAACATATGAATCCTTTACAAGTTTTTGTTAGAAAAAGTGACAATAAAATTTCAAATTGATTAGATCATAGCAAAGTTAATATTTAAAGCAGTAAAAAGGGTTTACAATTAAGAAAGTGTGCTCAAATATTCATGCTTAAAGTGATATCAAATTTGGCAAAACAAACATTTTCAAAATTTAAATTAAACAATTTAAGAGCAACAATTTCTCAAGAAAATTTTTTAAACTAGATTTTTTTGTTTCTAAAAAGAAAGAAATACATTGATATTTTTTATGATTCTGTTTATTGTTTTTAAATGATGTAATTTTTTTTTAAGATATCGACACTTAATACTCAAAAAGTGTTAACTTCGGCCGAAGTGAGTTAGTTATTAATGGCATTCTTCACGTCTGGTGTAAATTTGAGTCCAATTTTAGAATATGTTGTTTTGTAATTTTACAAAATTTTTTGAAAGATTAATTTGTTAATTAATTTATTTTCGCTATTATTAAATATGATGTACTGAAAAGGAATGTGTTAAAAAAATATAATTCGACATTTTACCAATAAATGTTTTAATTTTCATATTTTCCTTTTACATTAATTTTTTATAGACTTTTTTGAGTTAGCACTTTTTGAATATAGAGTGTCGATGTATGTCGTTTAAAATGTTCCTTATTTTTACAAGGACAAGAGTAGAACAATGAAATATAAGCAGTTAATGCAAATATTGGTGTGATAACAATTCAATTGCTTTGGAATGTGTTTAGAATAAGAATATGCTAAGTCCATTTTTAAAAAATTTTCAAGAACAAAATAATTTTGCTTAATAAGTACACGGTTAAATTTGAATCAATAAATGAAAGATAATGTAATTTAAATAGACCGATGTCATAAATTTCCAATTTGAATTGTCCGCATAGCAGTCTTAAAATCGACTTAGCTATTTTTGGCAACGGAATAAGAGACTAATAGATACCAAAAGGTAGAATGAAATTCAAAGATTGACGAACCGTTGATGACATCATATATCAAATCAAAGGAAACAAAGGTACCCAGTAAAATATTTTCAAATTTTGTAGTTATTTCTTACATGACTTGGTAATGAGTAGTCGTTATCAATAACATTAATTAATTTATTTGAATAGGATTTATAGTCAATTGTCTATAGCGTAAGTTTTTTAAAGAAATATAAATTTTTACATTTGTGTAAAAACAATTCCAGATAGAATGAAACGTTAATGGAGCATTGAGTAAGAGAATAGACTAATAAATATAAAAAATAACTGTCTGGTAAGCACATTTGCAACCAATTATTTTTTGGTCATCGTCTTACAAAAATAGGTAGTAAGTACTTACACTTTGCTCCAATATTACATGCCTACTTACCGTTTAAGTAAAGCATTTATTTGGTATAAACAAATATTCTTTTTTTAATGTTTGATATTGAAAATGGTTAAATGGATTTTACTATACGTATGATGTAATTTTTATTTAAAACAATTCAACTCTCTCTCTTCTCAAAACGCCCTATATATAAAGTACCTTAGTATGAAGTTTTGCTTGACCAACCATAACATTGTCTTACGCACTTCTGCGAATTTACTATTTAGACCTTTTATGATTTATGATTATTTTTAACAATCATAATTTTCATTACGTTTAACAACAATAAATCTACAAAAACCCTAAAAAATGGATTATCATGGCATTGGTTAACGAACCTACTATCTTACTCTCACTTACTTGTTTATACGATTTTAGTCATTTGTATTATTTTTAATAATAGATTTTAACAAAAAAAAAAAAAAAAAAAAAAACGTGGTCATACAATTTTTTCTTTTTTTTTCGCTACTAACTAACAACAATTGTTTATTTTGTTTTTGTTCCATTTATTAATAAATACTGTTAAAAATATGTATTTTAGTATGTTTTTATCATTAAACTGAAATTTATAAAAAAATATATTATAACGAAAAATTATAGCTATGACGGCTGTGAAAATTTTGTGGTAAATTGAGGCGCAACAGTTTTAATATGAATTTTTATTTTTTTCACTTTCTGTGTGTGTCTGTGAGTGTTTGTTGTTAATGTCGGTGTTATTTTCATTTTTAATAATTAAACATTTTTATAGATTTATCCCTACAGAAATATTGTTGATTTTTTGGCAATTTGGTTTTGATATTATTAAATAATTACGAGTGTTTTATGTAATGTTTTATTATTATAAATTCAAACAGATGCCAGTGTGGTATTTTACGATGACCTTGTGAAAGGGTAAAAATGTTGTGAAAAAAATGTTAAATAAACTGTATTAAAAGAATTATGAAATTTTAAATATACATTTTAAAATGTGGTGAAAATTTTTGAAAGTATCTTCAGCCGAAAAAGTATACTTTTCTAAAGGATTGAGCTGCGCTGAAACCGAATCTGACCGAAATCTGATCAGATTTTCTCCATCACATCTGGAACTTGAGATATCGTGTCCTTAAATTTGAAAAAACGCCCTTTTGAGATGTTGTAACAACGCCAAGACAACTTTATTTATAAAATGTTGTATGTCTTCTGAAAGTTCATTCTGTCAACTTTAAAATAAAGGCTTAACATATCTTCTTCAAGATATCTCAGATTCGGATTCATCCTTTACAAAAGTCTAATTTGGTCTCAGGGTTTCGACATTTTTCCAAATTTTGTCGGCCTGTGTAATTAATTTGAATTAATATTTTCAGTAATATGAATGATTTCAAATTTTTAAATTGAGTGGCTAACCGCTTGAATAAAATTTTCAGCATGTCCTGTATTTTGGTCATTAATTTTGCTCTCTTTTATAATATTTCCTGTAATTTATAATTATAAAACTTTGAAACTATTTGAACAATGGAAATTTTCATAACTTCCCTAATTAAATTTGAATTTTAAATTTCTCTTTAAACGGATTTATCATATTATTACAAATTTACATAAATGTCACCTTTATTTTCTCACGTTTACACATACCCAAACATGCATATCAATATCCACACATAGTATTAGGTTTCGCTAACTATACCAACAACAAAGATTCTCATTAAATTAACAGTTAAGTTCTTAACTGAAGTGTTGATTAAAAAAAAAAACTCTTATTTTTGTTTTGTTTCCTTGAATTTGAATCATGTACTCTTGAAAATAAAACTGACATTTGCATTTTCAATGGAAAACTAAAGAGCAACTACAACAGCAATGAAAACAAAAAGTGTAAACAAATAAACGTCATGCAAGGTAGAACAACAGCTGTCAGTCATTGAGATGTAGAACAGAAATACTCTCACATTAGCGGGAAATAAAGATTTGTTTATCTTATCAGTGTTGCAGTTGAAATCGAGCAAAGGAATTTGTAGGGCAGGTTATAAAGGGGAGTACTTTTTCCCGCGTTAGCTATTTTGACAGTTATTAAGAGTTTTGGAATGTTTTGTTAGTTGTAATGTCTAACTTAATGTAATTAATACTCCCAAGTCTGATTTAAAGTACTGAAAACTTTAAAACTCTACAACATGTTAATAGTTTAAACTATTTGCTTTATGTAAATTACATATTTAATGGTTTCCTTTATTAGATTTATATTTGTTTTTATTTCGCGACTAGTGTAAACACTTTATAGACAGTGTCCATATTCTAATGCTCCAAAAACAAAACATTACGAAATAATTCATTACGTTTTAAATATCTATTTGCTCTACAAAATATCTAAAGCACACTAAATTTACATTATACTAATATACAACACAGAACCGCCAGAAGAAATTTTGAAATAAAAAAATTGTAAAATTTACAAACCAACAAAAAATATCTGCTCGACTTTTTGGCTTTTTTTATAATTTACGAACAACAAATGTGTAGTCATTTTATATTTAGAAGTTTTAAACATTAAACAAATACGCGATTGCTTTTTGCACTAACAAAAAATATATAAAGAAATATAAATTAACGGTCAAGATCGGTTAAAGAAAACCCTATATAACAATTCTCCATTGATTGAAATAATACATTTTAAAACGAGTTTAAGCCAAACTGTTTCGTTGTAACAACGAAATAATTAATCAATCTAATGGTTTCTATGCTTCGTTGAAATGACGAACTTTATTGTTATGTTGTTTAAAACTTTTATTATTTATTTTTTGAGATTATTTTGGACACATTGCTAACATTAAATTTAAAATACCCAAAGAACTGACTAGAATGATGACGATGATGAGGATGATATTGTATCAACAGTGTAAAAATACACACAAGAAATGCAACAATAATAAAAACAGCACATGAAATTATTTTTGGTTAGCAAAAAAAGAAAAAAAAAAGCTAAATGAAATAAAAAAGGCCAAAAACACACATTTTCCTTAAAAATTTTTTTAGAGCAACGAAATGAAGCAAAAAATAAATAAATGAAGCAACAAGATGAACAAAAAGCTACAAAATACACACAAAATTCTGAAAAAAAGAACGAAACTAAATCATTATAAAAAATAAAAGTAACCACAAAATAAAATGCATGCCAAGGATATTTTCAATAGACACAAATACAAAAAATTAAAAAAAAAGAAAATAACGAAAAATATATTTAACCACATTTTATGTTCTATATAAGTCATGAAAGCGAAATGGCAGCCGTAAAAAACAAAATACTACAAGGAAAGAGGGTTTTTGTTTACTGTCACTCCACATCATCAACATCGTTCTCATCATCATCATTATCGTTAACAGCAGCAAAACACCAGAATATTGTTCAAAATGAACAAAAAGGTCAACCATTTAGAAAAAATTAACAAAGAAAGAACCTTACCAAAAAATTGTTTTTTGTTAAAAAAGTATGAACAAAAATCTTAAAAAATTAAAAGACTGGAAGATTGTAGATTTTTAGTGGTCGTTTAAATTGTAGGAGTGTTGAAAAATTTTAAATG